AAATTATAAAAGTGAGGAGGTTTCCAATACTCATGCCTCTGTATAAATCCTACATATGTGGTATATGAGATTTAGTTGGAAGTCGAGTCTTCAGATATGGAACAACCAATTGAATGTAGTCGGGGAAACGTGCATTACGTATTTCTCGTGCTATGCGAATAATTTATTATTACCAGAGATTTTTCTGTTACGCAACTTCTGTCTTTGCCTTTAGAGTCTTGTCATCTTGCTTCTTAAACACCGATAAAGTTGGTTAGTAGGTTCTCTAATCTTAATTCATTATTTCTTGTATTTTTGGAAACTTTAAGTTTATATTGACATGAATACTTTAGTCGGATTGATTTCATGAAACTTTAAAGCGACATTTGATTCTAACATCTATGAGCATCCTTAATTGTCAAATTTGTTGCACGCCACATGCATTTGCTACCCAGTCGGCCTGCAAATGCTACTGTAGGAGATTGATAAAGATGGAGTGAATGGTTTTATCCGTTTGGGGTTTAAGGATTTAAAACGGATGGGATTTCCAGAATGTTTCAAATTCATGAGATTTGTGTAGAATTAATCTTTTGAGGAAGACGGATTGGTAGAGGCATAAGTGGGTTCTTTCTCTTTGTTGGTTATTTTAATATGAGAGCTATTAAGCTACATGAATAGCTCAGTTAAAAATCTTTCTAGCCAAACCGATCTCTGCCTTTTGAAATGAGCAACTTATAATTGTGTCAATTATAATTTTTTACATTGATATGAAAAAGGGAATATTTGCAGCAGAGATCTCAACCCTAAACCTCCAAAAAAAATAAAAAATAAAAAATAAAAAATAATAATAATAAAATGAGTGTAGTTTTAGATCTTTTAAATCGTAGCAGAAATATCTCAAATCTATAAGAATGAGAGGTGGGATTTAAAAATTCATTAGTTGATCAAAAATTAAAATCGCTTTTGGCTTCAATTTGATTTTGGAACCTTGTTTGACACAATGTCACAATGGAAAAATAAGAACAATGTTGCATGGAAAAACATAATGAATGAACTTTTAATTTATTTAACTCAATTTCTTGAAAACGTGAGTATAACTTTTACGTGGATACAATATCTTTACGATGTTAGTTGTCTGAGATGTTGATTAAATATTTGATAATGACAACCGTTGATTAGCGTACCCGTGTTTATCCTATGATTTACAATGGGACTAACGTAAATGTTGCTGTCTTATAATTATCTTTCTTATTGCTTTTTTGAAAACACACATTCACATAATCAAAAATGATGATAGCTTCCAAGGAAGCAGCAAAAAAGGAACAGTGCACACTACTGTAGACTTTTGTTCACTGATGCACATCAACAAATTTTCTCCTGAATTATATTTTTAATTCCAACTTTTTTATGTTCAAATAATTTAAATTTTTGAACGAAAATTGCCCAAATATGTACCTACTTTTCCGTTGTGCTGAAACCAGACTGATACACCCTTTTCCGATTCCTAGCCAGAATTTAGAGTGATTGGTTCATGCAATGGCCTCTTACCGTCTTACGCTTAGCTGATTCGTCGTTAGGGAGCCTTACTATAGTTGCTGTATCCTGAACCATACTTGCAGAACACTAAACATTTTGTTGATTTTTGCAAGAAGGAAATGCAAAGCCAAGTTTTAGACCATAACTCACACTTTGACCGTAACCTATTTTAAACCCTTCTATCTCTGCCTGCCTGAGTTTTTCTTTCCCCAATTGCATCAAGGATTATACTACACGTACGTCACGATGTCTATAGCGGTGTCCACCCCTCTCCCATAAAGGGCGACCCACTTCTAATAAGTGCTTGTTTGGTAGAGATTTTGATAATTAATTTTTTGATCGTTAAAAAGAAAGTAGGTCCCACCTTGAAAGAAAAAAAATTCAAAAATGATGGTTGAAATAGTGAAATAACGATCAAAAATTTGATTTTAATTGACTTTTATACCCTAACAAACAATCTCTAAATTCCCCCTCCATATGAGGGGTGTGGACGCCGCATTATGTACAAGTAGTATATTCCTTACATCAATCTGTTAGTATTTTATAGCTTATACTCTCAAGGAAGTCGTCGTTCTTGTACCCTTTGATAAACTTGTTTGGCATCATCATTTTTATGTTTTTATTCATAATTTGAATTGGTGTTGTGCTAATTGCACATATATGTTGTTATATTTAACAAAACACAGTCGAAATATGCTGTCTAATTCCAAGATTCTCCAGTCTTTATGATTGCAGAATGTTCATGTTATTGCCAATTGTAGATTCTAAATTTTCTAGTTTTATTGCAATTCACAATCGCGTCCAAAAAGGATTGTTTATGAATAAAAGTAAACTTTTTAATTTTTAAGAATAAATATAGAGATAGATTTTAATTATAAAATTAAAATAGCGTTTGATTTAAAATATATTTAGACAGATATTTTGCTGTAATTATATTTTATTAGAAATTTGTTTCCTTTTTAACTTCTTTATTGTAATTCTGATTCATACCCTTTGCCCTCAATTTTTCTCATCTTGAACTCCTTTCTTTTCTTTAACAAATTATGATACGCTTCTGCTCCACAAACATAGAGGAGGGAATCTTGAAGACTTTTTAACTCAAAAGAAGACGTTTTCACTGGAAACAACAAAGAGAAACCTTTCTTTAACCCTTATAATAATATTCTGGAAAGACAAAGAAGCAGCTGCTAAAATGTTTTTAAGCATAGCCAAATACAGATACTATTGTAGTCGTCGACAGATATAGCTTTTCTTGTTCTTTTTTTCTCATCTGTATGTCGGGATTTTTCATATCGATACCAGTCATGGATTTCGAGATAGCGATCAAGAAAAGGAAGTGTTACAAGGAAGACGAAGAAGAAGATGATCAGCCCTTAAATCGCTTAAGCTGTTTGCCACATGATATCGCCTTAGACATACTCTCGAGGCTGCCCATCAAATCTGTTATCCAATTCAGGTTTTCTTGTCGATCCTGGAATTTCTTGTCTCGTGATCTACAACTTGTTGATATGCACATGTCCCGGGCACTGATCTGCCAAAGGTTATGCCTTATTTTTCATTCTGATTATCCTATTCGAAACCAGCTTCACTTTGTTGAATTTTCTGATGTTGATGACAATGAAATAGTGAGAAAAATTGATACTCCCTTTGCCGTTTCCATGCCGGAATTTAATGTGATTGGCTCATGCAATGGTCTGTTATGCCTAATTGATTCATTATTTTCTGACTCCATATACATATACAATCCTTTTACGAGGGACTATAAATTGCTACCAAAGTCCGTTGAATTCGAAAATCAGATTGTCATATTTGGATTTGGATTCCATCCAATTACTAAACAGTACAAAGTGATCAAGATAGTTTACTATCCGAGTGTCTATAATCTTGAAATTCCTAGGCATGTCCGCAGATTTACACACATGAGTTCACGGAGATCAGATGTTCAGATTTACAATCTGGGTACCGATAGATGGAGAAGCATAGGGCAAGCACCTTACAGACTAGAGAAAAGGTCTTCACTAGGAGTTTTGGTGAGTGGGAGACTTCACTGGATGAGTCACTGGGGAAAGTACAATGGGCGTCGTAACAGGATCATCGTGTCTTTTGACCTCTCCGATGATTCATTTCAAGAGATTCCAGGGCCCAACACTGGTAACTTAAGAAGTCTGATGAATTGCCATGTTGCTGTTTTAGGCGGTTGCCTGTGTGCTGTCCTACCTTCGTATGGGGGTAACGGAGGTCACGATATTTGGGTGATGAAAGAATATGGAGTGAAAGAATCTTGGGTGAAGGAGTTTACTCTTGGAGTTTACTCCCCAAGGTTTATTCGTCCTGACATGCAGAAATCTTACCAGATTTGGAGGAAATTTCTCGGTGGTAGATTAGTTCGTATAATATGCCTTTTGAAGAGTGGGGACGTATTGGTGGAGTACAGAGGAGGAACTTTGGTTTCTTACAATCCAGACAGCGGAATGTTTAAGAATATCACGTTTCAGGGGATGCCGAAAATGTTCCAAACGATAGTTCATATTGGTAGCCTTTATCCTGTTGTTCAATCCTAGACTTTACATACAGAAATCTAAACATTTTGTTGATATTTGTAAATTATAATTAGGTGTTAATTCCTTATTGAAATAATATTGTTTATGGTATGGTAGTGTCCTCCACTTACTCTGAATTACTGTCCTTAACATATCCTCTGAATTTGAAAGCATGCATTCTGGAGACTGATTTAACTGAATCATCCAGCAACAGGCATAGATACTTGTCCAAGGTATTTTCCAATCTGTAAATTTGCAAGAAACAAAATGTTAAGGCCAACTTCTGCAGGATCATTAAAGCTTAAGAGGTTAATCCCTTCAAACTCTGGTCTGCCTCTTCGAGTCTTTTTTCTACTGGCTTGCTTGCTTCAATTGATTAGTACTTTACTGCTCATACTTTTCTATTTGTATTTGTAGGGATTTAATATCTGAAACTTAGTTATTCTTAATTTTTTTCAATAAAATTTATTTGTAAAATTAACATAAATTATAAAGCTTAGCAAAGATGCTCTTAATTTACAAGTCAGAAGGAAAGCAGACCCAAAAGAAAGAGTTTTGACAAGAGAAAACCACCCTTTTTAGAAAATATTCCTTGAAAGACTGGCAGACACAAACTAGCAGCTGCTAAAATGGTTTTAAGCCTAGTCAAATACTCTTGTAGTCATCGACTGCTGTAGCTTATCTGCTAAGTTTCTTTCTTTCTTATCTCTATTATCATGTTGTGATTTCTGATAGCAATTCGAGCCATGGATTTTCAGAGAGAATTCACGAGAAAAAAAAATAAAATTTGTTGTGATGAAGATCACCTAGGTTGTTTGCCTCATGAAATAGCCCTCGACATACTCTGTAGGCTGCCCATCAAATCTGTTATCCAATTCAGATTTGCTTGTCGATCCTGGAACATGTTTTCTCATGATCCACATCTGGTTCATATGCACACGTCCCAGGTGCTGATTAATCAAAGGTGTATTAGACGTGAGGCTTGAACTACTCGTAATGCATCATATTCCACCATAGTAATGCTGAAGCTATTCTGAACAGCAAAAGAGAGCCCATAGCACAAGGCTAATGCCTTGGCATCTTCCAGAGAAAAGCTGTGAGTAAGCCCACGAGTATAATCCGCAACCACAAATCCCCACAGAGCCCCACCTGTACCCAGAAAATCAACATCCAACCGCACAGCCGCATCAGAGTTCAGGTGTAGGCCATGCTGCTGAATCTCACTACACACCTGGTACGAGCTATTTCTCGTTCTTCTGAACGCCTTTTCCCTAATTCTGAAGGAAAGACTCGTAGAAAGACAAAGTAGAATCAAGTAGATAAATAATTTTGGTATTAACTGAAAATTGGCCAAATAATGTATCCTAAAAAAATCCAAGCACGACGTCACCTACTTGTTAGGATCAAATATAAGAACCATTTTTGTAAACCAGAAGTCAACAGAATTCCCATTACAAATTGCACAACAGAGTTACGCCACCTAAAACAATGGAAGGCAAGGGGTATGGATCAGTTTTGATCATCAATTACCTAAATTCCTCAGGATAGTTTCTAGGCTTTGTATTTAAATCTGTACATTTTCAATTTCTGCACTGTCAGAATAACTTAAAGGACCTTTAAACTTCACTCTCTGCTTTGTTTAGTTGTGTCACGTACATGACTTTAAGATGCTCTTCTGAGATTGCTTGGAGTTTCTTGAGTATTCTTGTCAAGTCTTTGCTCTGGTTTCAATCTGAAGAAGCTCAACTGGAGTTTTGATGAAATTTCCGACTTGAGGAAGCTCCACTCTAGTACTCTCTTCCACGCATGGTTTGCCAACTACCGGGGACCAATCATCAGGACTTGCAGAGAAGTTATTTGTTTTACTGAATTTTTCTTCCCATTCTAAAGTTTCCGCAAGACATTGTTGATCTGGAGCTTTGGAAGAGTTCTGCACCCGATTAGGAATTACATTACGAGCTCCAGTTTCTCCCTCGAGAAGGTCGCCTGGAGTTGCAGCAGGGTCAAGATCCCAGCAACCTTCGGGCAATTTATTGTCTACGCCTTTAAGTAAACAAGATGGCACCTGGTGTGAAAACCGTAACATTTCTCTTCTTGGAATCCACCGAATGGCATCTTTGTTGGTGTTTCTCTGATATACCGTCTTGAATCCAACTAGCTTTATTAGAGGAGCAACACAAACTCCAAGCTCTTCAGAATAATCATCAATAACCTCAACCATTTCATACTGGTGTTTCACTGCATCCGGGGTAGTCCTGTTCCAATCTGGTGACCAGTTCCGATATACAGCCCATATGTCACCACTTCTTGGATAGATTCTTACACAACCACCCCTACCAGCTTTCTCTCTACCAAGAAGATGAGAGAAAATGTTGACTTGCTCCACAATTTCTGAATGATAGACCCTAAAGTTTCCACAAGATTTGGTAAACCCAGAATCCAACCAATTCACTGACCCAAATTCATTATCAGTTTTAGAGCTCAAGTAGCCAATATGTATCTTAAATGGACTGACTGAGATGATCTCACGGATTAGACAATACAAGCGAGGCATACCGTCTTCTTCATCATAGAGGGCCCATATCTGCTTGGGCTTAAAACAGTCTTCTGATCTATCCTTGTCAAAATCATGAAAGTCTGAATCTGGAACTGTTATTGACATTGAAAAAGTTCTCTCCAGTCCTGCTTGACGGCCAGTACCAGTTGAACCAGATAGTTTGGCAGCTTCACTGGATTTATCAACTTCAGTATGCGTATTCTTCTTCACAACCTCTGACGCTGCAGCTTCTGAAGTCAACCTCATCTCTTCAAGTTTATTGCGAATTTCTGATCTTGCCTTGTCAATTAACAATTGTCTAGCATCAAATGTAGGGGCAGCTGAACTGCGTCTGATTGAAGTCTCAGATGGTGAGTAAAGTTTAGAATTATGCTTCAAGTTCCCATTTCCAGAGGTCATTTTTGTTTCCAAAACAGTTTCTTTGGACAGTTCTTCATGTCTATTAGCCTGACTGCTCGTCATATCTACTTTTATTTTCTTGGCAGGTCTACCACGCTTCGGTCTTGATATTTTGTTATAATCAGTACCGGGGGTGGAGACAATATCAATTGCAGCCTTTACAATGTGGTGGTTTCCATTACCTTTTTTTTTATTTGCCTTCTTATTCGCTTGATAAAAAGTAAAGGACGATGTAGACGAACCATTAGGATCTAAAACTTCAACAGAACACCCAGAAAACGAATTAGATTGAAATGATAAATTGGAAACATACTCAGCTCCACGTCCAGTATGATGTCCTGAGACTCCATTAGGTGCACAATATCCAGTGGTGGTTGGGATGTATGCAGCTCCACGACCATGACTTCCATAACCATTCTCAGACGCAAAAGAGCTAGGACCATAAGAGAAAGAACCATTCATCGGGGCTACTCCAGTTTCAACAGCAATGAAGATACCACGACAATTCTTACAAGAAAGCCGTTTGTTCACATATTTCCGAAGATATTCATATTGAACGTGACAGGTGGTACATACGGTCCAAAACGTGTCAAGTCTGCTATGAGAAACTGCAAGCTTGGAATAAGTGTCATAACCACCAGCCCCAGTAGCGTGGCTTGCGTACAAATTTCTCCTGTGATCGTAAGAGCTTCTTTTAACACCATTGGATAAATGTTTCCATGCTTCTGACACGAGTCTGAAAGCCCCATCAGCACCCACAGTTTTGTTCTTATCAGGATGAAGCAACATTGCCATCTTCTTGTACTGTTTCTTCAACTTAGACTTGTCTGCGGATGGATCCATTCCAAGAATTGAATAGAAATCAAATTCTCCATTAATTTTTGCCTCTGAAGCAATGTAAACTCCAAAAGTTGCCACCATTTGAGAAACGCCCTCCAGTTCAGGACAGGACATCTGAGCTTTTAAAGCATAATTCCTTGCACCGACAAAATTTCTCTCTGCAAACTTCTTCTCAGCATTTGCTTTAAACCTGAGCGCTTCCTTTAAATTTGATTCCATCTCAAATTTCTGAAATCAAACCCAAATTCTTGAATGCAAACTACAAACAGCATACAGTGGGTAACTGTCCGAGTCCAATACTCAAACTAGCCATGGTAACACAGTCTGCACATTTTCAAATAAAAACATTATTCATCTTTCCTGAACTTTATGCAATCTACCATTAATACTTTCATTACACAACTAATTCAGTTTGATAACCTAAGTGATTATATTCTCATCAAATAAATTGATTTTCAATTTATATAGCAAGTAGATTGATATATAAAACAACAATCTTTAACTTAATCGTAATAAAATGTAGATCAATTTCAAGCTCAACCGTGCACCAGATACTAAAAGCCTAGTTTAAAAACCATCATAAGAGCTTCTTTTATACAGTCCAGAACATATCAGGCAAGAAATCATACTTAAAAATTCATTTTCTCAAGGAACACTTACCTCTGCATGATAGTCAAACAATTTCAAGTTCAATCCAACGAATATAAGAAAAGAAAAATCAAATTCAACCATGACGTTCGTATTGAGCAAAGATCTAAGCCAACACAAATTCAAAGCATTAGAATTTATGAAGGAAAATCATTATCTCGTTGTTTCTGCTAAAAATTGAACACTTTCGTAACTTGCTCAGATTTGAATCACACTAAGTAACACTTCGAACCCAAACCACCAAAATATTTTCTGATCCTTCAATTTTCTTCAGATCCACTGAAAATTTGTTAGATCTGTAAAATAAAACTCTCACAGAAAAATGCATATAAATATCAGCAAATAAAAAAAGTTTAACATAAAAAAGAACAAATAAGAAACCTTGCTTAACGAAGTGATATATAGTAGAAACCATCCAAGTTGATTTTTCCGGCGGCTAACGCCGGCAAGAAAAGGCCGTCAACTAGAAAATCAATTAATAGAAATAAGGGTTTATTTAGAAGTTATTACTTCAACTGTATGCAGCAATTTTTTTTATCCATATATGTAAGTAATTAAATAATTATTTTAAAAGAAATTTATATATAATAGTATTAAAATGAAATTATTGTGGTTATGCAGTGAATGTAACAGTTTTATTTAATATAATAAGTATTTCATTTTTCAAAGAATTTTAGTTACAAATATAACTATTATTATGGGAGCCAATGCCAGTATGACACGCACTCACCTTTCCTAAAAGTAAAAAGAATACGAAATTAAAAGAAATAAAATTTATATATTCTTTCTTCAACTTTACAAAAGAAAAATAAAGAAGAAGAAAAGAGTGGGTTTTTGCTTAATTTACTCGTGGACGGGGGGAAGTTGAAACAAGTAATTGTATTAATTTTTAAATTTTACTGATAAGGGTTAAAGTCACTTAACCAAATTGAAAAATAGAGGAGTGAAGAGGCACACCGATGCTTTATAAAATGATTGTGTATTTTTTTTTTTCAAACTGTCCAATCATGCATCGACACGTGTTCCATCTGGATTTGAACCTATATATGTAACATGATTGTTCTCCTTAAGTTGAAAAACATCATAGCATATCAATTACATCTTTGCCTAAATACATGAAAAACATCATAGTATTTTGTTTCTATCAGAACTCAAACATCCACATTTTATAATCTTATTTAGACAAGATCCCACTAATAATTATGAAATACTCAATCGTCACCACTAAGATCACCCCATCGAACGTTGTGTTTTGCAGCAAGATAGTGCGCTCCGACTGGTCCTCGACTGCCGTAAGGGTATAGCTCAGGCATGATTTTATTTTCTTCAATTTCCTTCAACAATGGTGTAAATAGAGCCCATGCAGCATCGAGCTCGTCACTTCTAATGAATAATCTCCGTTCTCCTTCTATAGCATCTAAGAGGAGTCTCTCATAAGCATCTGGTATTTCTCGCGTATACCTGCAAGAATGAATCCAAACTTGTAAATGGTTCATTTGAAGACTAGGCAGAATCAAAGAATGTCATTAATCAGTGAATGAAAGATACTGTCCAAATAATACATTCATAAAGCATCAGTAATTGTTACAATTTATTTCCCAACAGAAATATGAGTCTTCAAAGAAAGAGTGTCACGAAGAACGGCTAGGATTGGAGGAAGTAGAGATGTGGACCGGCATGGACATGACATTAAACGGCCACAATGTCATGCAATTTTCGATATCAAAATTTTTTACCTTGTTTTGTAGAATAGGTTGAGATCGCTGCGGTCCAGTCTCATTCCAAGACCGGGAACCTTGTTGTTGATTTTCAAATATATGGCTTCATCTGGTTGTAGGCGAAGGACTAGCTCATTTGTAGCCTTGTCCAGATCAGTTCCAAAGTTACGCTTGTACAGATTACCTGGAACGTGTCTGAACTGAACTCTGATCTCGGCTCTGAATTTTATCAACAAAGAATATTAGGACCTTGCATTGTCGAAATCTAATAGAAATGTATCTTTAGACAAAGTTTCGAAGACAGAGATCCACCTACCGCTTAGTGTGGAGAGCTTTGCCTGCTTTCATGAGGAAAGGAACCCCGTCCCAGCGAGCATTATTAATAAAGAGTGCTGCTGCTGCAAAAGTTGGAGTAACACTGTCCTTTGGCACAGTGGGGTCATCGATATACCCGGGATAGGATTTACCACCCTTATTATGGCCCTTATATTGACCAACAACCACATCTTCAAGCTGCAGTGGCATCATCGACTTCAAAACTTTGACCTAATTCAGTAACTCACATTACAATGAAGCCATTGTCTTTTTCGAAGAATTCTTGAACTTTCTCAGTGACAAAAAGCAAATGAAATAATCAGAGACCTACCTTTTCGTTCCTAATATCCTCAGCATTGAGGCTGACAGGCGTTTCCATTGCAAACAAAGCTAATATTTGCAGTAGATGATTTTGCATTATGTCCCGGATAATACCATAATTGTCAAAATATCTAATGACATACAAGAAACAGTTATCTTGGGAATCCAAAAGAGAGAGAAGTGTGATAAAGAAACTCACCCTCCTCTTCCGTCTGTACCAAAATCTTCAGAAAATATGAATTGAACATTGCGGATATAGTTTCTTGACCAAAGAGGCTCAAATACAAGGTTTGAAAAACGGAGCACTGATAGATTTTCGACTAACTCCTTGCCCAAATAATGATCAATTCTGATTCAAAAGGAAGCAAATCAAATTCCCATCCTATCTTAAGAATCTATCTGACTATAAATCAAATCCCAGAAAGACATACCGGAATATTTGGTCCTCGGTCAGGTACTGCTTTAGACATTTGGTCAGCTCTCTAGATGACTCTGAGTCACGACCAAATGGCTTCTCAACAATTACTCTTGTCCATCCAGTTGCTGAAGAAGCTTTAGTGCTAGCACATTTTACCACATCCACGAATATGTTTGGAGGTATGGACAAATAAAATAACCTGTTTGACAGTTTACCGCTCTGTATAGATCAACAACCATCAATATATATCTTTCACATTGTTATATTTTAGCCCGCTATTCATCATGTTCATTAGATCCATCTTTAAATGCAGAAAAATATGTACATAAAATGGGAAGAAAACATTTTTTAGCAAAAATAAGATTATTTTCATTTTGCACATGAGACCAGACAACCATCTAATCAAACATTGATAGAAGGAAACAGTGCTGGAAGACCTCATCAATTAAAAATACAAAATTTAGGGCCTTTTAAGACTCATTAAAGCAATGATCCTCGATAATATTTTATCTGAGATCCTTTTCCTGATAGTATGCTTTACCAAGTAATAAGATTCATTGGCATTCTACTTAAGATCCCCTTAAAATACTAAGCTAACATAAGATCAAACACGATTCAGACTATGTCAAAAATGACCAGCCCTTATGGCACTGAGGGATTGACCTCAAACACTACTAAGAATAAATTATAAGACTGCACAAAAGGTGATTCGACTAGTGCCTCCACTCTATGTTGAATTTTATATGAATGGAGTTAATTATCACATCATGTTGCAATTCTTCGGAAGACACCATGTCAACACTATGACAACACATAAGTCAAACCCATAAACATAATACAAAATCAAGAATTTGGATAAATGAAAGAATACGAACATCTCTTCATTTCAGAAGATGCTTGCTCGAGATTGGAAAATGTTTTGAGAAGGAAAAATTATTTATACTCATTAAAGAATAATGAAAGCAAACTAACTGCTAACCCAAAAGATATAAATAAAAATAGCATTTAGCATACTGCACCATCCATCTCATTCAAAAATGAAAAACAAGATTATCATTGCAAATAATGAAATAGAATATTTAATACCACCATCTTTATCCTTGCAATTGTGCAATCAATGTTCTAGGACATAAAAGACAAAAGATATGCAGCAGATATTGACGTAATGTCATATAAGTCATTTATGTCACTTACAAATCATCAATCAATTACTTGGGTTCACCGTGCTGCTAGATGTGTAAATGTCTTATAAACTTTTTCGTGATTATTGAGGGTTCTCTATGTTCAAATACACTATATTTAAAAAGAAAAATCGGTGAAAGGAAACTGGAGACATGACATCACCTCCCTTTCTTTTAGTTTGCAATTCAGCTCCAGAAAATGTTCCTCGGAATTATATTGACCGGAGTGATAAAAACATCTCTTCAGAAACTCCTCCATTTTGTCTTGACAGTTCTCTCTGTAAGAATTACCAAAATAACTAAATTAAAAATGACAGTAATATCTAACAATTCAAATGATTTAGAAAAATCCATGCCTTCTATCAATTCTGCAAGTTAAGGTTTCGCTTATCACGTTTCTCAGCTCCTCATCCGTCATTTTAGTCCGAGCATAACCATAAACGACAAAATTCTGCATTAGCACAAAATATAGAAAAATCAGAAAAGGGATATATAATAACGTAATTAGTATTAGCTTACTCAATTGGTATGACAAACATTTTCTACTAGTTTAAGATTCTTTTGAACTTTATGCAAATCGACAACAAGTGGAAATATTTGAAAAATCGAAAAAACAACCTCAGGTAGCCAATCCTCATAATAAAGAGCAAAAAGCGCTGGAAAAATTTTCTTCTTGGCAAGGTCCCCTGATGCACCAACAACAGTTATACTGAGCATAGAATTTGGCTCTCCAGACTCCGGAAAATGTACTTCCTCCTCCAGAGTTTTTGCAACTGAACCTTCTGCACAAAGCAATTGGAGATTTTTAGCAATAGGAACTAAATTTATTGAGAGCAAAGACAAATAAACGGACAAAAACATTGAATGAACTATGTTTAACATATCAATCCATACCATCATATTATCGTTCACTACATAACATTAGGCGGAGTGGTGAGCCAATAGCAAACCAGGAACTAAACATAAGAAAAGCAGCCATATGAGACCATACATACTTCTAGAGATCACTCAATTAAGACCTTGCCATTTGTTTCCACGTACATTCCCTTCTCATTAGGTGCAATGGTTCGAAATGAAAAATGAACATAAGCAGACAAAACCACGGTGCTCAGTGTCCAAAACACCTCAAATAAGAAGGTAAACCAAACATAGGTTAGGCTGATTTCCTATCACCAAGTACCTGCAGTTGAATCCTTTCTTCAAATTTCGTAATTATGGCAGCTGTATGAACTTAGTCCTAACATGAAGATATTTGGAAGGGGATACTCGAAGGATTGTTTGTAGGCAGGGGGGAAAATTCATTATTTAAGCAGAATCTAGCAATAAAAGGGAAATGTTCAATCACATCACAACTTGCCCCATAGCCGGTGGGCTTGGCATAAAGAATTTGAGACATACCTAACACTCTCTGTGTTGTGAAAATCATCAATTTATCTTTCTAATTAAATCATTCATCCAAATTTTAGAATTCAAGGCTTATCATTTCCCTTACAAAGCTTCTACGTTACCACTACACCAAGAACAGAATTTTTACTACAGACAGACTCACCTTGTAATGCAAACTAAAAAGAGAGAAATTCCGTAAACTATAAATATTAATGCGAATAAACAACAAAATTTAGTGGATAATCAAATTAAAGGATGATAAAATGCTTAAAAAACCAGATACAAATTTAACAGAAAAACTTACCATCTTGCATAGGAACTGCATTAAGAGGGTACCCATTTGTGGATTTGAGCTCAAAATGGTTTCTTAGTTGTCTTCTAAAATGAATACCAGTTACCCACTTCGAGAAACACGATATCTTGTGATCAAAAGAATAGAGAGCAGTTGAGGATGAAGAAAAATGACTCAGCTGAATAGCCATGCACTATGATTGTGTAGCTATTAAACAGAAACCCAACTTAAAACCATACAAGAAATTGCAAATGGATTTCTTTGCCTAGATATTTTTTTGAATGTTGGAAGTGAAATTATTGCTCTCTTATATCTAATGGCCCATTGAGTTCGCCTGCTGTCAGTGCAAAGAATAACAGCTTTTTTCAAATGCAATCTTTTATATGAGGCCACAATTTTTCCTCGCATTTTTACTTTATTCGTTATCCACTTTTTGGGTAATCGACCCAAATGATACTTACAGAGTAAAGCTTTTAAGTTATTTTGTGCGATGTGCATTGACCATAAAGTATAAACCAAGTAAAGGTAAGGGTGTGATTGGTTTCTATTTTCATTTTTTATTTTTATTTTTTAAACGATTTTTAATTTTTCTTGAAAAAGGCCCATTTTTCGCGTTTTGAGCATTTTCGACATTTATAACTGAAAATGCTAAAATCGAAAAAAAGTTGTTTTACGTTTTCAATTATAAATTTTAACTCGTTTTCGAAAATGGACTAAACGCGTTTCCACATTTTCAAAAATGAAAAACGGAAAATGGCCCGAAAATGGCAAACCAATCGCGGCCTAATTTTCTTGATCTAAATCTCAATGGAACCAAGAAATTAACACAGATAGCATTAAAATAGGAAGTGATTTTATACTCTTTGGTTCAATCTTAACGTTGTTGTTTGTGTTTTTAGCGATAAATTAAAGAAGAATCATTTTACACATTCCCTTTCACCATTATGACAAACATTAGAATTTAAAGAATTTTGAATCCAGTCTAGTTCAATGAAAGGTGATATGATTGGTTTTCTTGCTTAAGATATGGAAAAATTGCTTATTTTATTTTTTAAATATTTTTAAACAAAGTGTTGAAGGAGTCAATAACTAATATTTGAGAGAAATCTCCACTATTTCATTCAATATATCAAGAAAAAAAATGAAACAAATGTCTTATTTGGTACTTAAAAAGTGGAGCTTTCGTATGCTTATTTTTGGCTTCTGATACTACTAAATTCCGAATATACCCTCATGCTAGACATAAAATATAAATCGCACAAATAAAATAACGACTAAAAGAATAAAAATGCATGATATCTGCACGTAAAGCCCTTGTTTGAGCTCCATTTTAAGTGAAATAATGCATTTTTTAATAGTGATTGATGGAGAATATGTGGTTAAAAATTAAGGAAAAGTTTTGAATTTACATGTAATATTATTTTATTAAAGAATATGTAGTTAAAAATCGATTATGAAAAAATGAATTTTTGAAAGAATGGAGCTCATACAAGGGCAAAATATCCTCACACCCCTGCAATGTCTTAATCTCCTTTCCTGTCCTCGCCATCACCACCCTTGGCGTCTTCATTGTTTGCTTCCTTGAAAGGATGTAGAATTGCATCCTTTGCTGCTGATAAACCACCAAAGAAAAATCCTTCATCGCTTCCATCAGCATCAGTTGGAGCTTCAGAACGAATAGTGCAAATTAGTAGCAGAAGCCCAATGAAAACTAAAGTGTCGTCCCTCTCAATGTAGTCACTCTCGATCAAGAAACAATAATATATCGCTATTGTTTTGAGGGTAAAATTGCCAAGCCACTTCTCTCTTTTTCTCTTTTTTCTTTTTTGTTATGATTATGGAATGCTCACGGATAAATATATAGGGAGGTTGGGAGGAAGAGAGGTTTTCCTATATTAAGGAATGTAAATATATCTTGCCTACATCATCTGCCATTCAGTTACCTAACGATGTATAGGGAGTGGGTGAGGGGAGGTTTTTACCATACTAAGGATACAGAAGTAATCTCTTGCCCATATAGAACTGATACGCCATTCAGTTTGAATGTATTTATGAATAAGATCAGTTACCTAACGATGTATAGGGAGTGGGTGAGGGGAGGTTTTTATCATACTAAGGATACAGAAGTAATCTCTTGCCCATATAGAACTGATACGCCATTCAGTTTGAATGTATTTATGAATAAGATCAGCCCCGAAAACATGGCTAATTCCCGGTTATAATTAATCAACAGTACCATATATCTCTTGTTTCTCTTTGTTAATTCTGTAACCTTTGGTCCTCCAGGGAACAACCTGCACCAGAGCAGGATCACAGTAAGAACTATCATCATTGTCAAGAATTGTACACATGCTTGCATTTTGTTGCACTAGGACAGTTCTCCAATTCAGAATTTCATAGTGTCCATTTGCCTGTTGGTCAGCTTCACTCTGCTACACCTTAGGTTTACAAGAAGATCTCAATACTGGTCTTATTCATTAGTAATGCAACAAAATAGAGTCAACCCTTAATTGGTGTGGAAGAGAACTGATTAGGCTTCACTTACTGTTTTGTACGATGGGATAACATAAATTCTGAAATGGCAATCTAGCTTAAAAATGTTTGATGAACGTATGCGGGGGGGGGGGGGGGGGGGGGGGGGGCACATAAGGGTGTCCATTATGGACACGACACCCGGCGCCCCCTATTGGAGGGGCGCCTGCACGCCGCGTGTCCATAATGGACACCCTTATGTTTGGGGTTATTACCCCAAGAATAATTCTAAACTTTCATGGTGTATTCCTACTAAAGTACGAATCCTGCAATTAAACAAATTCCGCTTCTATTACACTTGGCCACTCCATATACTATAAACGGTTAGTTTCATTCGAGGTAAGTATCCACATCTATATTGCGTTTGTGTATATGTTTTATTCATTACACTAAAGAGTCATCATGGATTAATGATTAAATCACTTTTGTCAAAGCAACTATGAAAAGATAATCACTTTTTCAATGAAAGAACTAGATATTGGTAAACTAAAAATTACCTGACAAATGAACTCCAATAACAATTATGATTTATCCAATGTCAAGATCCATTATTGAGCACAGACCAAGAATGTCTCAGAATTTTAGCACACCTGCACAGCGACAATGATATAACAAATAAGCACTCAATTGCATCTGGGAATTAAAACGGATCTTTCCTTCTATTAAACAGAAGGCCTAAAAAATGCAGCGTTAATAAAATTTATTACCTGATATTTAGCCTGTTTAATCTGTTTTGGATAGGAAATGGACAGTAGACTAAAATAAAAGAAGAATGTCAAGGAAACAAAATTCTCTTGGAAATGTAAGTAATGACAACTCATCAAAATTGAATGTAATTTTAAGCAAAGCACTGCTAAGCGAAGAACAACAAATTGACAGTGTTCCATTTATTCTTTATGAAAACATGTCTCAATATGGCCTGTAACATGATACCCAAAAAGTAACATCATTGCCACATTTCTGTATGGGGTTTAGCAGCCGTCTCAAAAAAAAAAAAAAAGAAGAAGAAGAAGAAGAAGAAGATTTACAATTCTATACATTCACCCAGAAGTTTAGCAAGCCTTTATCTGGTTTTCAGTATCCTAAATACGAAATTCTTCGATAAAAATTCAAGACGGCAACAATTCCTCTTGAGCTTTCAGTACCAAATTCTGATTCCAAATGCCCCTTCATAAAATAACTTAGCAGCCAATGTGCAGTTACATTAATCACTAGGCTGTAAATCACAAACTATGATCTATTGCTATTGTTAGGTGCTATGCTTAAATCAACTTCAGCACTAACAGGCATATTCTGAACATGCTCAAGAAGTTGTGTGAGTTCTCTATGAACAAAACTAAAACGTTCTTTGGAGATGAATGATTCTGAAAATAAAGTTGCAGTAAGTGAATGAAGGGCTTGAGAACAGTCATTGTTGCTGTTTTGAATGATTTGATCATCCAATGGAACTAAGGAACCCTCCAGTCGCCATCTGAGTGGAAAATATTTTTCTGGGACTTGAAAGTAGTTCTTTACTACAAGCACTCGAAGGGAATGTCTGCATAATATGCCAGAATGTTCAAATTCTTTACAAGAACAGTGTACTAGCTCATCCTCAGGTATCCAGATTACAAGACACTCTCCTTCCATTTTCTTATAGTGCTTCACAAGATATGAACCATTAGACATTTCTGTTATTGCATAGTGCATAGACAACACAATTTCGTGCTGCAAAGCACTAAAGGCGTAAGGCGTCAGAACAGTCCGAGCGTGTTCTTCCAGAGGGAGACATGTCTTGATCGGCATATACAAACACTCTTCCCGGTTCTGACTCTCAAAATTTGCGGCAATCCCAACCTGCAAGAATCGAGAAATAAAACTAAGAAAATTTTAGAAATTGAAAGTCCAACAGATCTGGAAGTTGAGTCATACGCAAAAACCTGTTTAAAAAATAACTGCAATGATGGTTCTGCAGTCAGAATATTTTTCAAAAATGTCTCCACCAATTTTGAATACTCAGGAGTCATAGTTCGTGCTAGGAAGAAATTACGAACATAGCAAAATGGCCAACATGCTCGATAAGAGAAAAGCAGATCAATGTGTTTATCTGAACCAATTCCAAAGCGAGCAACCATATGATTCCACCGTTGCTCAAAATCCTCCACATTTTCTTGATGACACAGCATGTCAAACTCAGATTTAAAGTCTGAGTACTGCACGCCAAGTGGCAAAGAGAACCAGCTGGACATTTTTGAGAGGACTTTCCAAATAGAGATAATGTGTTTGGTATTTGGCATCTCAATTGATATAGCATCTCTGAGACCTGAATCGATGTCAGTCACAATTATCTGTGGCCATCTTCCTCTCATAAATCTAACAAAAACCTGTGGAAAAGCAAAATAATTACAAGTATCACAGATAAAAGAATGTAAATGCATACTGATCACAACGCTAGCATCTCCACACCTGCAAGGCCCAAGAAAAGGATCGGGATGTCTCATCTTGAAGTAAAGTGCATCCAAGAAAAACTGGTTTTCCATGACTGTCAATACCAAGCCACACACCAAGGATCATGTTATAAGTGATAGAGCAATATGTCGTGTCAAAAGTAACTACATCGCCAAAGACAGAAAATGCTCGGATGGAGCCACCGTAAGTCCAAGCAATGTTTTCAACTTTCCCACTTTCATCTGTAGAATAATTGAAAACAAATCCCTCATCCCTCTGTGCTGTCACCTTGCATGTCTCGAGAAGTTCCATAAGTTCATTCTCCCGCTTCTCGGTAAGGATCACGTCATTCTCTTGAACAGATTTCTTACATGTCCGAACAAAATTTCTAACATCCTTTTCAATGAAAGGTAACTGCCCAGGTTGAACCCCCTTTTCCAATTCCAGCACTTTCACAATCCGATTCACGGGGAACCCAGCCTTAGAGAGTAAAAGAATACGTTCTTGATCGGCCTCTTCAATTTTTCTGTAGGCAGGAAGTAGGCGAACTTGATCATCTTCCAATAATTCATGGTTATGAACATTACTAAACTGTGAAACATACCACTGTGTAAAATCGTCGACAATCTCCTTTGTCAAGTACATTTTTGCATCACATCCACATCGTACTGATTTTCTATCTCGGGGGTGCTCCACATTGGCCTTCTTTCTTGGCTGATTAAACCCGGACCGGTAACAAACAAAATCCCTTCTATAAATTCCTAAATTTTGACTTTCTGTTGAACGAGCTTTCCTAATCGAAAAGCCACTCTTCCTTGCAAAGTTGTTATAGTATTCAAAAGCTTCATCATCACTTTTAAAAATCTGACCAACATAAGGAGTAAAAACTACTTCTTGCAATGACGAGAGCGTAGTTTCCCTCTTTAACAATTGAGATTGGACCGCACCCTTATCATCTCCTTCGTATTTAATGTAACATTTCCAATCCCCACAAGGGCATTGCTGGCGTCGAATCCAAATGTTATGCAACGGCTTTGCACCCATTGCTTGGAGGAAAGAATCAATACGAACTGCAAAATTCCAAGCAGGGGTAGCAGATTTCTAGTTTTTCACCTTCACTCCAAAAAAGAAACAATCTTTAGTGAAGATCGAGACTTATCAATAGCTTGATTAATATTCAAAAGTATTTGCTTCGATTAGTAATATTTCAAATTATAGAATAAATTTACAGATGCCCATTTCATTGCCCAAGTAAGATAAAAATAAGAAATTTAATCCTATTATTCAGATAAAATCATGAACATTGAATTTTCTGGATTGACAAAAAGAAATAACAATTCATTTTATTCTATAGAACTCGAATTTGAGTAAAAAATGGCAGTATTAGAGAATTGATACCAGGAAATGGTAAACCCTGACCTTGAATTTTCACATTATTTTTTGCTAGGTCTCGATCAGCCATTTGCAAAATTTAGGACCGATGGTCCAAACTCTAAAGTCAATGTTCTGCAACTCAAAGAAAAAGGAGATGAGGGGAGAGGAAGAAAATGGCAAGCCATTTTTGGGCCACAGTTTTGGGCCTCAAAAAGTCATCCATGTATCAATGGGCCGAATTCCTTGGTTTAAGCTCCAGAGTTTAAACTCTGATCTGGTGTGGTAATCAAGAGGAAATTAGGCCCTATACCCTCATTTTTTTATTTTTTTGATTAATACCCTTTAATTAACTAAACATCTTAAAGGGCAGTAATAATTACGTCCAAAAACCACAACTTAGTCAACAAGCCCAAACCTAACCCACCATTTAGGTTAATTTATTAAAGCCAGGTGTGTAGCTATCGAATAGGAGCGACCATGAGCCGATTTGAAGTTACGGGTAGGTTTCGAGGAACTCTCCACCGAAGAACCTGATAGCTCGCCGGAGTGACTGTTGTAGTTGGAATCGAATTTTCTTGGAATATTCGAACTGGGATCAGCGACAGTCCAACCTGAGACGGATCCGGAGGAACTTGAACTGCTACTGGTGGCAGTGAATCCACCCGTGCGAGTTAACAAGGTCGAAATTGGCGGACCCAGATTGAGTTCTCCGAAGTTAACATTGATGCCATTATCTTCGCTGTAGCTCATTGTATTCCTCAACTGATTCGTCAGGCTTTCTACTGTTAACTCTGACGTCGGCACAAAGCACGACATTTTTACTCACACTCACCAACTCCACTCAGTTTCTCACAGGAGCTTAGCAATGTGCGTGAAGTTAAGGAACACATCTAAAATGGTGAAATGAAGCAACTAAGAAAGACATGAAGACGAGAGTGAGAGAGGAAAAGAGAGAGATGAGGATCTCGTGAATTTAAAGGAAGATAGACAATCTCAATTTCAATTTCAATTAAGATGCTTCAAAAGATTTTGGACAAGGCGATGGTTGGGGACAATATGGGGTTGTTGTTGAGAGGTATTCAAAAGGTAGATATCCAACGGGGGACGGTTAGTGTCTAAGCCTGGGACTATCTCTCCACACACAAAGTTTGTACGTGTTGAAGGAGGAAGAGGGTGGAAAGCATTGTTACTTTTTCTAATGTTGTCAAAAAAGTGTTTTGTCTCTTTTGTTTCGGTCCGTGGAACATATTTTAATTTGCCTCACTTTTTTTAATCTGTCACCTTTTTTAAACTTCTGTCACTTTTTTTTTAAATTTTTTATCATTTTTTATTATTATTTGTCACTTTTTTTCATTCACTTTCTTGATTTCTATCATATTTTTAATAGCAAATATCACTTCTTTTTTTTTAAATAAAAGTGACATTGTATGTCATATTAAACAATGCCACTTTTTATTAAAAAAAGTGACAATAAAGGGGTTGTTTGAGCCCATTTTCTTCAAAAAAGTATTTTCAAATAGTGTTATGATGGAAAATGTGTGGTTAAAAAATAAGAAAAAGTTTTGAATTTATGTATAATATTATTTTGTTGAATAATATATGGTTGAAATAAAGTTAAATCACTGTTGAAGAATAAATTTTTTGATTGAAAAATGAGGCTCAAACAAGGGCTAACTTTTGAAAGTGACATAAGGCCACATTGTATCACTTTTTTAATAAAAAGTGACATTGTGTCACTTATTTAAAAAATTGTCACTTTTTTTTAAAGTGATATTTTTATAAAAAGTGATATTGAATCCTCGACACACTAATTATGTTAAGAAAATAATTACTGGTATTGCACAAATGGATGATATTATTTTAGTGTTTGTTAGTTTATTTTTTTGAATTTGTATCACTTTTTTTTTCAATTTTGTTACTTTTGGAGTGTTTGTCACTTTTTTAAATTTATGTCATATTTTTTTGAATTGTGTCAGAAAAGTGACAATTTTTATAAAAAAAAGTGACATTGTGTCACTTTTTCATTTTACATAGTATTTTTTACTTTCAAAAAATGTTTCATATGATTTTTCAAAACATTCCAAATTTTAAGGGTATTTTTGTAAGTTGCCCGGTAATCAATAGGTTTTAACTGTGAGCTTGGCTCAGGAATTGCACAATGCACCACTTATTTTATTCTTATGCATTTTAGCCACTCAATTTTGTTTACGTTTTAGTTCATAAAATATTTTTTTTTTCTTTTTCTTTTCAGCCTCAAACTTGGACATGATTTACAAAAAACCATATTTTCTAATTGCTAAAAATAGGCGTTCCCTCGTATTGCCTTTGTTCTAGTAATTACAAAGTTTCAATACCCAACTCGACTAAAATTTACATATTTAAGAATATACATATAAATTGACTAACTTCAATGAGCCAAAATAATGAGGCATTAGGATCTCCTTTCATTAAAATTACATTTTTTAAAATTTACCTAAACGGTTCTGGATATTTTTTATTTTGTTTCTAGTTCATGTTATCACATTGCTTCTTTGACTGCTTTGTTCCTCCATAAAACTTTTGACTAGTGGATCGATTTATATTGGAATTGTTCAATTTTCTAAAACGAGGTTCGACTTGTACTTCTTCAAAAGTTGGATTCGGTGTAACTCCTAAAAACTAATTTTAGTGCATGAGATGGATCGGGCATGGTCTTCACAAAATTGAAATGTGAAATATATTGTGCACTCGACCATCCAATTGGGTAACTTTAATCGTTAGACAGCGAGTTTTATTTTTTATGAAATTTTGAAACATCTATAAATATGGGGCTAAATTTTCGTATCTTTCCAAATCACATAGTTTTTTTTTTTTCAATTTTTCACACACACTTGGTCTTGCATTTGACATTCAATGTTGGATTTTATCATCATCATTTTGCAGCTATGAGCACGTCTTGAACAATTTCGAGGCCTACCAATTGAAGTCTCCAACCTCGATCTAATATGGAGGTGAATAACACCATCTCCCACATAATACTCCGAATAAAGGTATATCGATAGATAAATGACAATTGGTGTTATACGAGAATTTTAATGCCAATTTTACTTGAAAATCCATAAAGCAGGCTAGTAAAATATCCTACAGCACATGTATGGTTCATTTTGATTGTCCATCGATTTCGGGGATGAATAGATGTACTAAAATCAGTTTGGTACCTAACGTCATCCAGAATTTTAAAAGGAATCTTGAATCTATATGCATATACAATGAAAATTGAAACTTCATGAAATTGAAGAATTTTGCAATGTACAATTCAGTAAATTGTTCTATCTTGTACATAATCCGATTAGCAGATCGTCCCCTTTTCCAAAGACTAGTCGTATCTTGAGATCCACTATTACACAATTCCATTTTCAACTATTTTCAACTACAATCACGAGGAGGCCGCAAATCACATAGTTAACATGTCCCACCTTAATATTTGGTCGAAGTCCAGCGTCCAACATTAGTTACCATGTGATGTGAAGTTCAGATTGAAAATCTGGGGATGGAGGTGAAAGAACTTGGAAATCAATCCAGTGTCTGGACCAAACACGTTGAGCCGAGTATTTATTTCTAGGTACATGGTGACACGAACCACCTCTTTATGAGAGCTATAATACCAATAAAGAACATTGATTGGTATAACTTGCGATTTACCTCCCTCACGATGCTCCAGGGCGGGGGCGATGGGAGACCCTTAAGGTTGGGGTTCAACCTTTATAATACCAATAAAGAACATTGATAAATAAGGGCCCAAACGATTAATGAAAAAGACCATTATAGATTAGCAAGAACAAGATCCTGTGACTGAACTTTTCAATTGCCCAAACCAAATGGAAATTGATTAAAAATATGTTTTTGCAAACACTACCATAAATTTAGCACCAGGGTACTTATTGGACAAGATTATCTTTGCAGTACATATATACAAGACGGTTGCTGCAGAAAGTGGATGAGAACTTGAAAATGCCAAAATGGGGAGGTGAATTTACAGCTCCAAGTCCAGTATAGACTATAAACTTGGAACCCTTCATTAATGGAATATCTCAACAAATTCAGTCTCTGCTCTATTCCAATACGAGACTTGTTCAGTTTACCTTTTTCCAGGGATGGCAAGCAAAATACATTTTTTGATATTGAATCCTCGACACACTAATTATGTTAAGAAAATAATTACTGGTATTGCACAAATGGATGATATTATTTTAGTGTTTGTTAGTTTATTTTTTTGAATTTGTATCACTTTTTTTTTCAATTTTGTTACTTTTGGAGTGTTTGTCACTTTTTTAAATTTATGTCATATTTTTTTGAATTGTGTCAGAAAAGTGACAATTTTTATAAAAAAAAGTGACATTGTGTCACTTTTTCATTTTACATAGTATTTTTTACTTTCAAAAAATGTTTCATATGATTTTTCAAAACATTCCAAATTTTAAGGGTATTTTTGTAAGTTGCCCGGTAATCAATAGGTTTTAACTGTGAGCTTGGCTCAGGAATTGCACAATGCACCACTTATTTTATTCTTATGCATTTTAGCCACTCAATTTTGTTTACGTTTTAGTTCATAAAATATTTTTTTTTTCTTTTTCTTTTCAGCCTCAAACTTGGACATGATTTACAAAAAACCATATTTTCTAATTGCTAAAAATAGGCGTTCCCTCGTATTGCCTTTGTTCTAGTAATTACAAAGTTTCAATACCCAACTCGACTAAAATTTACATATTTAAGAATATACATATAAATTGACTAACTTCAATGAGCCAAAATAATGAGGCATTAGGATCTCCTTTCATTAAAATTACATTTTTTAAAATTTACCTAAACGGTTCTGGATATTTTTTATTTTGTTTCTAGTTCATGTTATCACATTGCTTCTTTGACTGCTTTGTTCCTCCATAAAACTTTTGACTAGTGGATCGATTTATATTGGAATTGTTCAATTTTCTAAAACGAGGTTCGACTTGTACTTCTTCAAAAGTTGGATTCGGTGTAACTCCTAAAAACTAATTTTAGTGCATGAGATGGATCGGGCATGGTCTTCACAAAATTGAAATGTGAAATATATTGTGCACTCGACCATCCAATTGGGTAACTTTAATCGTTAGACAGCGAGTTTTATTTTTTATGAAATTTTGAAACATCTATAAATATGGGGCTAAATTTTCGTATCTTTCCAAATCACATAGTTTTTTTTTTTTCAATTTTTCACACACACTTGGTCTTGCATTTGACATTCAATGTTGGATTTTATCATCATCATTTTGCAGCTATGAGCACGTCTTGAACAATTTCGAGGCCTACCAATTGAAGTCTCCAACCTCGATCTAATATGGAGGTGAATAACACCATCTCCCACATAATACTCCGAATAAAGGTATATCGATAGATAAATGACAATTGGTGTTATACGAGAATTCTAATGCCAATTTTACTTGAAAATCCATAAAGCAGGCTAGTAAAATATCCTACAGCACATGTATGGTTCATTTTGATTGTCCATCGATTTCGGGGATGAATAGATGTACTAAAATCAGTTTGGTACCTAACGTCATCCAGAATTTTAAAAGGAATCTTGAATCTATTTGCATATACAATGAAAATTGAAACTTCATGAAATTGAAGAATTTTGCAGTGTACAATTCAGTAAATTGTTCTATCTTGTACATAATCCGATTAGCAGATCATCTCCTTTTTCAAAGACTAGTCGTATCTTGAGATCCACTATTACACAATTCCATTTTCAACTATTTTCAACTACAATCACGAGGAGGTCGCAAATCACATAGTTAACATGTCCCACCTTAATATTTGGTCGAAGTCCAGCGTCCAACATTAGTTACCATGTGATGTGAAGTTCAGATTGAAAATCTGGGGATGGAGGTGAAAGAACTTGGAAATCAATGCAGTGTCTGGACCAAACACGTTGAGCCGAGTATTTATTTCTAGGTACATGGTGACACGAACCACCTCTTTATGAGAGCTATAATACCAATAAAGAACATTGATTGGTATAACTTGCGATTTACCTCCCTCACGATGCTCCAGGGCGGGGGTGGTGGGAGACCCTTAAGGTTGGAGTTCAACCTTTATAATACCAATAAAGAACATTGATAAATAAGTGCCCAAACGATTAATGAAAAAGACCATTATAGATTAGCAAGAACAAGATCCTGTGACTGAACTTTTCAATTGCCCAAACCAAATGGAAATTGATTAAAAATATGTTTTTGCAAACACTACCATAAATTTAGCACCAGGGTACTTATTGGACAAGATTATCTTTGCAGTACATATATACAAGACGGTTGCTGCAGAAAGTGGATGAGAACTTGAAAATGCCAAAATGGGGAGGTGAATTTACAGCTCCAAGTCCAGTATAGACTATAAACTTGGCCCGCTTCATTAATGGAATATCTCAACAAATTCAGTCTCTGCTCTATTCCAATACGAGACTTGTTCAGTTTACCTTTTTCCAGGGATGGCAAGCAAAATACATTTTTCAGCGTCAACTTGTCTTGGACTTTGAAAGAACTCCATTCAGAACAAATTGACCAGAATCATAGATCTCCGAATGTTATAATCGTTCATTAATGTCATGCCAAGAAAAAGTTCAATACAGTGTTCAATTTCTAAGCAATAGGCCCGCCATTGAACTTCTCCAAACGACTCGAGGATTGGTATTGAATGCAGAAGCCACTGGAGTCCCAACGTCCGCATAAGGACTCTGTGCCACTTGAGCAGCCATTGTAAAATCTTTGAGCTTCAAACAGTTCTCTCACTATCTCAAGCTAGTTTTGTCTGTTTTAATTTTAGACCACTTTCATCTGCGGGTGGTTTGCGCGCAAATGGAAATTCTATTAGAATAATGAAAGAAGATTTCTCAGCCTCTCTAAGATATTTTACAGTCCCATTCATGATCTTCACTAGTTTCTGGCTGATATACAAGCCAAGACCTTCTCTCGAAACACCATTGTTATAATAAAACATTTCTTGTATCAACTCTTCAGGGATCCCCGGGGCAGGATGAGTTATCCTGTCATGGTAAGTAATAACACATTCAAGATCCAATAACGCACAGCATGTCCATGGAAAATGACAAAAAAGGGAAATTATTCTTGAATCCAGAGACATTGGTCATGACTTGTAAGTAGTATTATTGATAGATATATAGAAAGAGAGGCACACACGTAGATCTAAAACAAAAATAATATCATGTGACTTAGCATCTTTTTCTTTTTCCTCCTTTTTTGTCTTGATCCAGTAACATGCGCTTTAAGTGGATACACAAGTCAAGATCTTTTTCTTAGTGCTTATTTGAATAAAATTATAATGGGACTATGATGAAAAGAAGAATTGGGGCCCCACGAAATTTGTGGGTAGTAGTTCTGAATGTATAGTTAAAATTAATGTTTGACTCTGACAAGGTGATTATAATTTTATCCAATTAATCACTTAGTACAAATGGGAATTAAAACTGAAACCTACTGACTATGAGGGGCCTAGGAGCCACCATGCTTCTGCCAGGGGAAATAATAGTACTGGGGTAAACAAGTGAAACAAACTCTCAGCAACTTTCACATGAAATTAATGAACAAAAAATAATAATAATAATAATTAAAAAAAAATTGCAGACTAGTATGAAAATCAGTTACCAAAATTCAATATGAAGAACATGTGTCAATGTCCCGATACACTCCTTTCTTGGAATCAGCCTGAATTCAATTGACGATCCTTCAGGAGGAGAAAAAAAGATAGCATTTGCCAAAAAGTCTGAAAGGATTTGCTGAAGCCTCAAGATGTCACCGTATAAGTACATGAATGATACTTCAGCAGGTAAATCATATCTAACGTGCACCTGGCGCTCCTGGCTCAAGATCATAACTTCATTCTTGACCACTTCTAAAGCTTCCCCAAGATTAAATTCATCAGACTTCATTTCGGCATAGCTGAAAAAACGAGTTGCACAAAGATGAAGAACAGTACAAAAGCATCTGGAATTTGTCGAGATAGATTAATTACAGTAATATTTAACAAAGTCTACCTTATGAATGCAAAGCAACACTACAAAAACAATTACCTAAACAAACTAATTCATTATTAGATATATTGCACCGGATTCTAATATAATTATGATAATGAAGGAATAACAATAACCAAGCACTGAACAAAAACAAAAGCTAGTCAAGTGGAATTGGGTGTAAAAGCAAATCGTCATCAATCAGAAAAAGTCGCTGCTGAGTTCTACCCTTCTTCATCATCTTATCTTTACAGTGGGATGACTAAGAAAAAGAACTCCTACCTCAATTCTCACTCACGGAGCAGCATCGCTCGGCCATAACGAAAACGCAACAACAATCCTCAACAAAATCATCCCACAAAGGAGACGTCTTGAGAGTGAAAAACATGAATTCATAATAATATTCCTAGAAACTTAGAACATGATAGAAATCAATGACAGTTTAGAGAATCCTGATGGCTTGTCACCATCATAGTTCAGAGTTTTTTGGTTATTTTGCTTTTGCACCTTTTCATGTTCAGTGAGTTCTCACTTACCATGTCCTCTATGTGTGCAAAAAAAAAAAAAAAAGAAAAAAAATTCATTACATAAATTGTTCTACATTCTTTTCCAAAAAGGTATCTTGTGTTGTTTATGAAGGATAACAATAAATGATTAAAATATGAAAATTCTTATCAGGTGAGAATATGGCTGTCCAAACAATCTTATAATATAAGAAACTGCCAAAAAATCTATTACAATGGGAAGAAGCATATTGACCTAAAGAACACACACTGCATATGGAAATTGTCCTCCATTTATCATCTCAACTAAACTTTTCAGTTCTTTTAGTAATAATAATGAGAGGTAGTTTCAAAAAGATGAAGCCATATAATGGAAATACTCTTTTTACTAAATTCAAGTCATATTGCCATTATTCATCCTAATAAGATCTCAAATATTCTTGATGCTGCAATTTCTTCCTAATGCATATTTATATAGAAACAACTTTGTTTAATATTTTTCCTTTGTTATCTGATTTCCTTCTTTCCTATTTTCCTCTTTTCATTGGAGGGTGAAGGGGTGGTTAGATATACATTGTTATGAAGATTTTTTGAAACTTACGACTTCACACACCCACATAGATAAGTAGCTTTTAAGTATTAATGCTTCAAAACCTACATCTGCCTCTAATACAACAAATTTCAAAAGTTTTTGCAACATAATATTACCTTGCAAGTTTTGAATCTCAATCAACTCTACCCCTCTTTGACAACCATTATTTTGGAAAAACAATATTTTGAATAATGATTTTTAGGAGAATGTGTAATTAAAAAGTAGGATAAAATTTTGGATTTACGTGCCAAATATTTTATTATATAAATGTGCGGTCAAAAATGAGTTTTCAAATAATGGATGCCAAACAAGGGCTCAATTTGGACACCTTAACGCATTGGTGTTGCCTTAATTTCAGGTTTTGCCCATGTTTGACATTATTTAGGTAAAATTGAGTTTTAAATAGTGATTTTTTCGAAGAATGCGTTGTTCAAAAGTAGGAAAAAAATTTGAATTTACGTGCATAATATTTTATTATATGAATGAATTTGAGGTTGAAAATGAGTATATAGAAAAAAGAGTTTAGATATAATGGTTGTCAAACAAGGGCTTAATTTCATAAATAAGAATTAGATACTGACAACATGTAAGGGAAAATACTTGTTCAATGCAGAATATTAAGCCCGAGTCATTTTTACCAAAATACTTTAGATTTATGATACTCAGACTCTCCAAAAGTGGAAAAGTATTCATATCGACACGACATGATATGGATACTGACACGAGATATGGATCGAATCCTTGGTAGTTGGTTTTGCACTCGAACAAGGCAGCAAAAGGGAGAAGACGGTGAAAGGTGGAGTCTTGCTTCTACTCGCACCGAATTTCATCTATAGAGATATAGTTATCTGGCCTTGCGACTGTCTATAGAACTGCATCTAGATTTCTGCTTCTAGCTTGGAAGAAAAAAGATAACAAACTCAGGGGAAGAATACGAAGGAAGAAGACGTAGGGTTGTCCTAATTGATTGAAGTGGGTTTGGACTGGATTTTGGAATGTTTTATAAGGGCTTTTGTAAAATCCAATGCATATAATTAATGAAATCACAATTATTTTATTGGGATAAGTTGTATGGTCAAAACCATTTAATTTGAGTTTATTTTTGTATTAATTTTATTATTTCTTATATTTATCTGTATTAACTGATTATTTTGTAATTAAAAAAAATTTAGTGCTACATCTTTTTTTGGTATTAAATTTAAATTTATTTCTATATTTGTTTTTAATTACTATATAAGACTTTGACATAGAATTTTTTCTTTAATTTTTTTAAAATGACAATTTTATTTTTTTTTAATAAAAAAATATTTTGCAAAACGTATCTCCGTACTCGTATCCAAAATTCGGATCCTTTTCAACCGTATCTCCGTATTTTAATTTTTAAAATAAAAAGAATTTGACTCCTAAATATGTACCCCGTATCCGACACCAACACTCAAGTCCAAGCATCATTGCTTTAGATAATAACAGGACCAGTAATGGTATTATTTAGAGAGTGCAATTTATGAATTCTTTCTATGGTCAACCAGGTCTCTACATTTATCCATAGGACTGCATATCTACGAAGGCTCTGTTTGTCATCCTTTACCTAATGATATGTTAGCATGTCTTTGATGAATTTATTGTTTTTCTTGTTCCAGAAATTCATTGACCTGAGACAAGCTAATTGTAGGCCAAGGAACGGATAATTGGATAAAGTTTCTTGTATTAGGTAATTAACAATCAAGAAGGACAGGAAGGTACTGAAGAAGAGATGTTATATTTGACGTGGACATGCAAGCATATGCATCAGAAAAACCTAGAAGCCTAATTTCAGCAGTAACATTTTATTAATTTATTGGCAAGCCTCTAGGAAAATTGCTAATGCATTCACCAAATCTATTAAGCTAGTAGATCATACCTGCCCTCAATACTCTCAACATCAGCATCATCAATGATCTTGGCTAGCTGTTCCCGACATAATGCACTAGTCTTCAACAGCTGTCTTTGTTCTTTACTTAAGTCTGAAGATTTCATAAAATTCTGCAAACACTTTATTCCATTTAAAGGGTTTCCAATTTCACCTCGGATATAAGCCAACTTTGTTTGGGCATTTGCAGTAGCCTGTTCAGATATCCTTTGCACTTGCATGGCATATTGAAGTTCAGGACTAGCAACATGCAAAAAGCACAAAATCCCAGTGACCCTGCCCTCTGTATCAGTCCTTTTGTTTGCAGAAATTAATGCTTCTACATATTTTCCTTGCTGATTAAAGAAGCCAAATACCAACTTATTACCATCCTGGCCTGCAATTACAGCATTGAGTAATATTCTGAGCTTTGTTAACGTGTCCTGATCTTTGACCCGGCAGCCGAAATTATGAACTGTAAAGACCTCACCAAGAAGCATTTGGTCTATGGCTTGTTCCCTCTTTAGACCCGACAATTTTTGCATCGCATCGTTCCACTCCACACAACGTCCATGCTCATCCATCACAAAAATGGGAGGAATTAGTGGACATGGACTCCGAACAATTCCTACATAATCACCATGGATTTGATTGTATTTATCCAATATCATCCTTTGCCCAGTAACATCTTGGCCGACAAAGCAAACTCCTACAATATTTTCCTTCACATCTCTACTACAACACGCATTAGCAACCAAGATGACAGGACCACTCTCTTCCTGAGGCCCAAAAGTTTTGAGTTTGATTTCAACATTTTTCTCTTCTTTGCCTGCAATAACATATCAGATATGCTATGACTTAGCAAGAATATTTATTAAACAAAAGGTAGCACAAACATATCTTGAACGAAAGGAGAAGATATATAATTACATGTAACGAATGGAACAGGGGATAATTCTTGGTAATAAGAGAAATTAAGTCAAACACCAAAGCTAAAAGTTTTTCCAGAAAGTCCCAAAGTGTCAAAAAGCAGACCTGGAAGCTCAGTTTCATCAGATTGGACAGGCAATGTGCAAGATCTTCCATTTTTCAAAACAGAAAAACTAAAAATGACTTTTGGATGCACTTAAGCAGGAAAATCTCTTGTTATATGAAATTCATCTAAACCAACCAACAGAGTCATGAAGCAGAACAAAGCTAATGATTCTAGAACTTCATGTTTAAGGGTGAGGTACTACAATGCACCAGTCTTGAAATTATATCATCCTTTATAGTCTCTTCATGTGCCCACCAATAACAATCCAACTTTCTATATGCAGTTTCACATTCTCTCAACCACGCCCCTGCCCACCACGCGCAAGCACACACACAAACAAAAAAAAGGGAGTAACCAACCCTTCCGTATCTTCTCATAAAAATTAGATGATGAAATTATTGTGTCACAGACCCAATGGTTCTATCACTGACTCTCAGTCACTCTCTTTCTCGGTTCACTCAATGATTGAGGTTCTAAGAACATGTATTTTCACATAGAGATAATACATAAACATGTTTAAGCAACCTAAATAAAGTTGTGGTTTCCTCCAGCAATCTATAATTTTTAGTAGGAAAAATAAATTCCAATAAAAGCTATTGAGCAAGAAGACCAGAGATAGTGTGTCACCTTGCAAAGCCAGTGAGAGCACATTCTTCACTACATCAACTGCTTCGTCGATCACCAGATCAACAAAGGGCGTACCAAGAGCTGTTTGTAAACTCAACCCTGTAAGTTCAGAGACTTTGGTATTCCATCCATTGATATAGCCAGAGGTATCAACAGCCAATATAGGTATTGATGCTGTTTCAATTAAGCGAACCATTTCATTAGTCACTATACGCAGTTCATCCACCCTCTGTATGCTGATATCAACTGCTGGAACACTGACAATCATTTGAGCATCATTTTCATCAAGCAATGATCCTCTTAATATAAGCTGCAAGGAATGAATTGCATCCATTTCCACGTCTTCCCATGGTAGGCTCCGTCTCTTAACTACCTCGAGGAAAGTCTTGAATGATGATCTAGGGTGCATTTTTTTCCCATCATCTTTGTCCTCTGGATCATGTTTTGCACCTCCCCATTTTATTTCCTTAGCTGTGTGCGAACGGAACCAAAAGAGGAAATCTCTAGAACTAATTCTAACAGCAGCCATTCCACATACTGCATCGCCAAGAATGGAAGCACCGGGGTAGCCAGCTTCCATGAGGCTGTCAGTACTTAATCCAGTACTGCTGCCATGGTACTCTAAAAGCCAGGCAGCAATATCTCTGATTTGTGCCTCTGAAGGAGTGACCCCAAGCAACCAGCATTTATTATGGTAGAAGAGTACAGCACCATCACACCTCACAAGGTCCATAACATTAGGTGACCGAGTAACAATGCCCACTGGGGTATCTCTTAGCAGCATATCACAAAGCACAGTTTGCGTTTGCAAAATATGCTTCTCCTTCAGTTGAGCTTCCAACTCCACTTCCTTATTGATTTGAACCCCAAAAACTTGAACCAAGAACTCACATGCATACCTCAAAGGAAAAGGAACGAACCTGGGGCTCGTATGGTGGCAGACAATCAAGCCCCACAACTTTCTTCGCTTTATCTGATTGTCATCCATCTCATCAACCTCCTCATTGATCATCACGGACATCACAAGAGATGCAATCGAACCCATATTTGCCATATATTGTGCATGACATCCATGAGGAGATCTTAAAGTGGATCCCGAAAGACTCAGAGGTTGAGCTAATCCCTTGTCCTGAATTACTTTAACAGGCTGGGCCCAACAGTCACATATCATCCTAACCTTATTTTTCATGAAAAGAAATCTCGACGCTTGTGGTATATCAGTTGCAGGGTAATGCAATCCAAGATAAGATTCCAAGCCAGGCCTGTGGCACTCAGCGACAACTTCCCCATGCTCATCCTCGTGAAATTTATAAATCATCACCCTGTCATAGCCTGTTAAATCCTTCACTTCTCTAACCAGCACGTCACACAACAGTGATACATTTCCACTTGGCAGAGATTGTATTCTTGAAATAGCTTTGGCAGCAAGCTTGTATGATTTTAATGCTCCAGCAGCTGTCACTGGCACATCATCTGGATTCACTGGTTCCAGATCTATAACTAATCCAACATCAATTCGATGTAAAATAGCATAGAAGGGCTTGCCAGTGTTTCTACAATGGACCAAAATTGGATTGACCAAATTAATTTCCTCAAAATTGGTTGCTTTTTGCAGTGCAGCAGCACTTGAAGGTCGGAAAAGTGTTCGAACATCAACGCCAAAACTCAAAGCTTCTTGTTGTTCCATGCTTGGAACTGCATGCGGTACTAAGTCTAACATTTCAGGTGCATTCTCACTGTATGCAAGAATGCTCAAATTTTTTTCATGGATCGCAATCAAGCAACCAAATGGCTGGATAAGGCTCCCTCTTTGCATCTTCTGCAGATAAGCTGACACAGTTGAAGAAGGAACATTGCTAGTGGAAGTTGATGCATTGACAGATGTTGAGTAATCAAACTGTTGCTTAGACTCTTCATAATCTACATGAAGCTTGGCATCAATCGGCGTCTGAGAGACAACATGGGCACCACGCCTTGATCTAACAGAGCTGCTCCTAGAACAATTTGTCTCGTTTGTGGTCGACCTTGATGACATGTCTTTCAATTCCTTATATACTTCTCCCTTTTGCAATTATCCAACTGCTTGTCACTATTGTTACTCCAATGGAGTAACTAATCAACCCAAAGAAACATCAACCTTTCAAAAGGCATATAAACCAATAATAATCCTAAAACAAGGCCGGAATGCTCATTTTAGCAAACGGAAATTTAAACGGAATCTAAGTGCTTATATTCAAAAAGATTCCACTTTTTTATTTTCAATTCAAGAAACAAGCAGCAAAGAAAAAAGGGGCCAAAATGGATTCCTCAAGAAGATATTAAGAACGAATTTTTCTAAATTACTTCACAAAACCCTCCATACTCTGAAAACTCACAAGCCCGAATAACAGGTCAGAGAGCCCGCGTAACTGCAAAAGCATTCAGAGATTCATTATTGCATGATACACCGAATGTAACACAATTCAAGTTTGTTAAGTAACTATAAAAAATGAAAAAAAAAATCTCAATTTAACAAACGCCGAATTCGAAAACAAAATTGAATAATATATCAATAGAAACACAAAAAAAAAAAAAAGTCTGACCGGTTAAATTGGGATCGGTAACACGTGATGCAGGACTGAATTCCTGAGCTTTGTCACAAGTCAAGGGTATTATAAAATAATAAATAATATTAGAGCGGAAGCAAAAGCACGATATCCAATTGAATCGCTGATGGAGTTGCAAGGTTATTACGTTTTATTCTACTCCGTGTAAGGTTGGGAATCGTCTGGTACCTTGGATTCGAAAGTTTATTTTTCTTTTGGTGAATTTCCTTTTCACTGCCATGTCCACTGAGTTCATATGTGCATGTTTACAAATAAGTAGCCTTTAATTTATTGGCAGAATAAGTGGCATTTTATATATTTATCCTTACTCTGTTTTTGTTTTCTTTTGTTTTTGTTTTGTTTTTTTTTTTTAGGAGTTGTGTACGGTAACCTACTTGTGAGTGCCAATGACATTATATTAGCGTTTGTATGGTTAAAAAATAAGAAAATTTTTGAATTTAAATTTAATATTATTTTATTGAACAATTCATGATAGAAAAAAGAAAAGAAAAAGAGAAATGTAGTTTAGAAATAATGGGAATCAAACAAGGATTTAATATGGGGTAAATTGTTCTTTTCACCCTCAACCTTCGTTATATGTACCGTATACAAGCCCACATTCTTTGAAATATTTGTTCTACAACTTTTTAGACCCATCCATCCAAAAATTCTTGTCAAATTTATATAGACACACGAGTTTACCCTTTAACTTAAATAATCCAAATAAATAAAGCAACCAAAAAATGGAAAGCAAAAACATAAATAATAAATAAAAGAGTAATTGGCTCAAAACGTTCATACCTTTCAAGTTTATTGTTGAAAACATCCCTACCTTTTATTTTTTGACATTTTTGCGCCTACCTTCCACATTTCTTTGCGCAGAAAGTCCTTCTGACGATTTTACCCTTCATTGAAATGAAACAAAAAGAAAAGAAAAGAAAAAATAAAGAATTAATTGCAATCATAGTCCCAAATTTTTGTAAAAATTATAAATCAATCATGAAAAAACTTGAATGTACAGGGAAATAATCAAGAAATGGAGAAATTTTTTAATCATAACCATTGGAAATAAAAAAATTTTAAGATTACGTTATTTTTGCCTCAAGCCTTCCATCTACCCTTCACTAAATAAAAATTGAGATTATGCTTACCCATTTTTGAAAATTTTCAGTTTCATTGGCTATGGTTCAAAAAATTCTCTATTTCTTGATTATTTTTCTGTACATTCAATTTTCCTTCTTTTTTTTTTTTGGTAATTTTAAAATTCTTCAGTTCACAATAAATTGTGATCATTTGTAATTTTTTTTAAATTTGGGACTATTATTGCAATTAGTTCTTTATTTTTTTTCCTTTTCTTTTTGTTTTATTTGAATGGATGGTAAAATCGTTAAAAATAAATGAAAAGGACCTTCTGCGCAAAGAAATGTAAAAGGTAGGGGCAAAAATGTCAAAAAATGAAAGGTTGGGACATTTTCCACAATAAACTTGAAAGGTAGAAGCGTTTCTTTGCCAATTACCCTAAATAAAAGAATAAGTAGAACGTGGGGGAAGAAGGGAAAAGAAAGATAGAAAGAAAAAAGGATGGAAATCACCATTCTACACAAATTTAACATAATTTTATATGAAAATTATCCGGACGAATCTTGCTATTTCTGAAAGATTGTGGTTAACATCGGCCACAAAAAAATGATGGAATAAATGCTACAATGGACAAAGATTAAGAACAAAAAGTACAATCTACGTTTTAATATATAGTGGGATCCGAGAATTAGAATATTTTTTTGAATCTATATCTCATGCCATTTGCCATTTTATATATGAATAATATAAGAACCCTTATTTTAAATCCAGACAATTTAAAATGTGTAAATATTGTGGTGAAGGTTTAAAGCTTTAAATGTTCGTCTTGAGCAACTTGTTAAAACGGTAAAACCTTGAAGAGGAAAAATATAAATGTCTTGTGTTGGTGAAAGAAAGCCCATCTAATGTTTTAATCCTGATCGAAATTTTTTGAACTTTGTGAATTAAGCCCCAATAACAAAAAAATTGTTAACAAAGGCGATGGTCGCCTCTCACATGCCCGTAGTCCTGTCTGAATTAAAATTTAAAAAAAGGTGGGCCCCTTATTTTGTGAATGTCGGTCAGATTGTATTTCAATCATCTTTTTGTCACAGCATCTTCCATTCCACACTCAGTGTTGATTTTTTAATGTACGGAAATCAATTAGTAGTATTCCTATTTTGTGCCATGGTTAATTCTTGGAGTGATTTTCAAAGGACAAAGTTGTTTTATTCTAAACTTTTCATTCTTTCCAGACAATGAAAAGACATGCATGAGATTATGACATTTGTAAACCAAAAGCAAATAAAACAAATTAAAAAACAGAAGGGGAGCACATATGAAGATATTTGAATGACTTTTTTCATATTTAGTTGCTAAAAATTAAATTCTTAGTAGATTCTAAAAAAGGTTAATGAAAATATTGTAGGAAAACAAGTCGCTAGTTGATGAAATCAATTGTATAAGTTTTATTCAAATGTAATAGCCGACTATTGAAATTAAATAACCACAAGGCAAACAATTTCAATTTATCAAAAAAAAATTCTATTTTAGAATTTTCCAACGGCTGAAAAAAAAAATGTTTAGCAACACAAAATTAGAAATATAAATTAACTGCAGACTAAAACTGTAAACGATGAATCTGAAAGCTGCACACTATGGAACTACAAACTACATGAATTAAATAGTAATGCAAAAATAATCTGTAGAAAGAAAGCACAAACTGCAGCAGATTTCAAACCGAGGCCTGTGCGTGCACAGTTTCCTTAAGATAGTTTCGCCCCCTCACTGTAGGTGCTGGAGGTTTAGTTCAAGCGGCTGTCTCCCAGGATACAACGGTAATAAGCAGAATTCGAGCACTGCGGTCCTACTCCGACGAACTGATCTAGTACCCGAACAATATCACCACAAGAACAAGACCTTACTAGACAAGGAATGAAGAAACTGTATATGCAAGAATGTAGGTGAGATTTTTGAGTGTGTTAGATTGCTGGAGAATGAGCCTTTTTATAGGCATACTGCCCATTAATATTGTGAGCATTGGGAGTCCATTGGAGTTACTTCCCATTAACAATGTGACCATTGGGAGTCCATTGGAGTTTTTTTAGTTTAGAAACTCAAAAGTCATTGGAGGAAGCCAAAAAAATTTGGTAAAATGTGGGCTCACCGATGGGGCCATTTTTGCCTCGTTCGGTCCGACATTCGTGTGCGCAGGTCGCGTCCGCACCCAAGTTCAAGGTCCGAAGGCCATTTCAATTCATGATGTGCACCCCCTGCGCGCGCACGTAGAGAGAGCCTCTATGCTACACATGATTACACATCTCCAAAGCATAGCCATATATAAAGTTGTTTAAGTTTCATTGGTTTTCCTATGTGGGATAAATGCATTTTTTCCCACAAAATCAATTTCCAATGACCAACTTTGAACTTCAATTTCTCATTCACATGAGCTTCATTTTTTGCAAATAAATATATGAAATCGATGTTCTCGCGGAGGAGAACACATATCAACTTTGATATTCCATATTGGACCAACGGGTCCTATCGAAAATTGTGCCAAAAGTGAGCCGCTCACTCAATTTTTTCCAACAATCCCCCACATGAATGAAAATTGGGAGAGACACGAAACATGAGACACAAGACACACGAAACGTGAGACACAAGACTTGGTGATAAAGTTCAACGATTGAATCCTGCATAGGATATTATGATATTATGTCTACGACATATATGTCTAGACTTACCATTATATATATTACTCTGTGTCCTTCCTATTGTCGATTGACTGTCACAATATATGCAAATTGCTGGCACTGGTTTTAACCATCTTGGAATATCCTCTAAGAAGTTGCGCAACCATTCAGCCTTTTCACCATATTTATCTAGAGCTATAAACTCAGATTCCATCATAGATCTGGCTATAACCGTTTGTTTAGAGGATTTCCACGATATGGCAGCACCACCCAATGTAAACACATATCCACCGATGGATTTTGAGTCTTTTATATTAGATATCCAATTAGCATCAATATATCCTTCAACCTGAGCCAGGATCGAACTCTCCATGAGATTCATAGTTGCATTACTTATAACTTCCTTGTTCGTAGACAAAGCGGATTCGGAATTGTCTTCACTATATCCTTCAATGACTGCTGGATATCTAGTATAATGTAGTCCATAGTCACGAGTATATCTTAAGTACCTTAGTACTCTTACAATTCCTTTCCAGTGATCAGCTCCTGGATTGCTCGTGTATCTACTCAGTTTACTGACTGTGTAGGCTATATCTGGTCTAGTACAACTCATTAAGTACATTAGACTTCCGATAACTCTCGAGTATTCTACTTGAGAGATACTTTCTCCTTTATTTTTAGACAGATGTTGACTCGTATCTATTGGTGTTCTAGCCAAGCCAATATCATCCTTATGGAATTTTCCTAAAATTCTGTCCACATAATGTGACTGACTTAGAACAAGCCCATTTGATGTTCCTGAGATTTTCACTCCAAGTATAATATCAGCTAAACCCATATATTTTATGTCAAAACTCGAGTTTAACATATTTTTAGTGGATTCAATCATCTTATTGTTACTACCACAATAAGCATGTCATCAACGTAAAAACATAAGATGACATATTCATCTTTAATGTCTTTGACGTAAACACATTTGTCACATTCATTGATTTTAAATCCACTCTCAATCATGACATTGTCAAATTTTTCATATTATTGTTTTGGTGCTTGTTTCAAGCCATATAGTGACTTCACCGGTTTACAAACTTTCTTTTCCTGTCCTAGTGACGAAAACCCCTCAGGTTATTCTATGTAAATTTCTTCTTCTAAATCACCATTTAGAAATGCAGTTTTAACATCCATTTGATGTACTTCAAGATTTCGCAAAGCGGCAATCGCAAGTATCATCCTAATAGATGTTATTCTCGTCACTGGAGAATACGTATCAAAGTAATCAAGGCGTTCCCTTTGTTTGTAGCCTTTAATTACTAATCTGGCCTTATACTTCTCGATAGTTCCATCTGCTTTCATTTTCCTTTTGAAATCCATTTGTAGCCTAGTGGTTTGATTCCTTGAGGAAGATCCACTAGCTCCCATGTATGATATTGTAGTATGAAATATATTTCACTTTCAATGGCTTCTTTCCATTGAGGTCCTTCCGAGAAATTCACTGCTTCTTGATAACTT